AAAAACTCCACAATATTAAGGCAGCAAACAAAAAGCCAGACAGAAACACACTACTATTAGGCGCCGTCCTGAAGTTCCTCATCCTCTTCCTCATAGTCATACCCCTCCTCATCAGCTGTTGCATCTTGGTATTGTTGGTACTCAGAAACCAGATCATTCATGTTGCTTTCAGCCTCAGTAAACTCCATCTCATCCATACCTTCTCCAGTGTACCAATGCAAGAAAGCCTTCCTACGGAACATAGCTGTGAACTGCTCACTGACTCTCCGGAACATTTCCTGAATTGAAGTTGAGTTTCCAATGAATGTTGAGGCCATCTTCAAACCAGTTGGAGGAATATCACAAACAGTAGACTTCACATTATTGGGGATCCACTCCACAAAGTAGGATGAGTTCTTGTTCTGCACATTAATCATCTGTTCATCAACCTCCTTGGTGCTCATCTTGCCACGGAACATGGCTGAAGCAGTCAAGTATCGACCATGGCGAGGATCAGCAGCACACATCATGTTCTTGGCATCCCACATTTGTTGAGTGAGCTCTGGGACAGTAAGGGCCCTGTACTGTTGGGACCCTCGAGATGTAAGTGGAGCAAAGCCAACCATGAAGAAATGCAGCCGAGGGAATGGAATAAGATTAACAGCAAGCTTGCGCAGATCTGAGTTGAGTTGACCAGGGAAACGGAGGCAGCAAGTTACCCCACTCATGGTGGCAGAAATCAGGTGGTTCAAGTCTCCAACTGCATTCAAACAGAAGCCAGTGCTGAGATCAACAGAATTTTCACAACCAACTTAAAAGGAAACATGCATCAGCAGGATAAAAAATGCCAAGAGCATAAAAGGTCTTTTGACTTACAGCTTGGAGTGGTGAGCTTGAGAGTTCGGAAGCAAATATCATACAAAGCTTCATTATCCAAAACCATGCATTCATCTGCATTCTCAACAAGCTGGTGAACAGAGAGAGTGGCATTGTAAGGTTCAACAACAGTGTCAGACACCTTAGGGGATGGGAACACAGAAAAGGTGAGCATCATTCTGTCTGGGTATTCTTCTCTGATCTTGGAAATGAGAAGTGTTCCCATGCCTGACCCAGTTCCACCTCCCAATGAGTGGCATACTTGAAATCCTGAAAATTTTTTGAAGAAAGAAAAATGATTACTAAATCATAATCAACAAGAATGGATGCCAGGTAATATAGGAAGGCAAATTCCAATCCAAAACTAGGCGACACCTTCACGACATTTTAAATCACCATCGCATGTTTTTAAGAACCATCTAGCTCTACATTGAAATAAACGATCTAAAAGGCATAAAAACAGGTTTTCAAGCATACATTGAAGTTAATATTATTTATCAATTCTTTAAGCAACCAAACAGAGAATCTTCATTATGAAAATTGAAATTTGTTGTACAATGATT